TCGGCATCGCCAAATCCCCAGGAATCTCCCCACCGATCCGATTGTTATCCGCCCGAAACTCCACCAGGCCCGACATCTTCCCCCACATGCCGCGGGGCAGAGCACCGTCGAAACTGTTGTCCGCAATCACGAGCCGTCTCAATTTGGTCAAAAGGGGGAGAGAGCCAGGAACAGGGCCTTGCAACCGGTTCCCGCCGAGGAACAGGTGGGTCAGGTTCGCGCAGTTCGCGATCTCCGGCTGAAGCGGGCCGACGAGGCTGTTGTTGGTGAGGACCAGGACGCGGAGAGAAAGTTGGGCCGAACAGAGTCCTCTGGTTTCCAGGTGCCCGCTGAGACCGAGACCTTGTAGGAATATGGCCACGATGCGAGACTCCGAATCGCAGGTGACACCAGTCCAGGAACAAGGGTGGGAGGTTTCATTCCAACCGAAGTTGGGGAGAGGAATGGTCCTACCGCGGGAGAGGAATTTCATGAACTGGAGGAGGGGGAGCCTTACATCCTCTGTTTCTGAGTGCGACGGCGGCGGGAAGGTTAGGAGGAGGAGGACGACGACGACGACCCAGTTGGGGATTATAGCCATTGCTGGTGGCTGTTTTGAGAGAGGAGTTGGTTTGGTTCTTCAGTTGTGGGCTTTTTATAGATGGTTGATTGATTCCCATGAAGCAAACGGACGCAGTTGACTGAAACATCAATGGGAAAGTTTGGTGTAAGGGGACGATCGAGCCAAGAAGAAACAGACATCGGAGAAAAGTCCATGGTTAGATGCCGGCATTTACAATTTTTTTTCGCCGGCATTTACAATTTAAAATACATCGGGTGGGGAAATTTGATAACATTGGACGGCATTCACGAGTCAACTTTCTTTCTCATTGGCAAGAACATGGCGATTACTTGCTTTTAAAGCGGATATGCAGCCACATGGGAACGAGGAGGTCTCATGCACCACCTCCAATATGAAAGGGTGATACTTAGCTGCTACCCAGGTTGTAGCTAAGCTCCTGCAACCCACTTGCGTGTCTTGCGTTAATTGGGTATTTATTTGTTTTATTAACTATTTTGCTTGTACTTTCTTACTTTAGACTTTATTTTCATATTTTAATATTTCTCTTTCTCGTGCACTTTTTTTAAATACTAAGGAATAACTTTTACAATAAAATAATTAAGTTACAAACTATTGAGAAAATCTAAAAAAGTTATTTCATGTCGAAGTTGTACTAGGTCATCTCCGACTCTGTTCTTGTTGAGTTGTCGGGTCTTTACTATGCGATTTTGCGATGTCTAGTTAGTGAGGTGATGCTTATAGCTTTTGCTGGTAATACGAAGATGGTGTTTGACAAGGTTTCGGAAGATAATCTGTTGGTTATAATGATAATAGGCTTGTACAGTTGATAGCAAAGAAAGCATTTTCGTTGTTCTTTGGTTGGTTAAGTTTATGCTCTTCGTTGTTTTTTGTCATATGACTCACTTATATCTTACTGTATGCTCAATATTTTGAGGGATTTTTTGAAAAAAAAAATATTGAAGCACTAATCTATCACTAATTTGGTGTCCACAAGAATACCAAATATTGCAATAGATTAACATTGCATTTTTTTATTAATAAAAAGTGATTTCACCTATATTATCACAAAATTACTTTAGTTTTTCTAATAACTTAGTTTTTGTATAATATGGGTAACACATTTTACGAGGAAAAAATAGAAATATAAAAGGAAAATCTAAAATGGGTAAGTACAGAAAATTAACTAACCAAAACAAATTAACATCCAATTAAAATATGACACGCAGGTGGGTTGTAGGAGCTGGCTCCAACCCGGGTAGCAGCTAAATATCTCCCAATATGAAATACACCCACAGACATATCAAAAATTGTAAAATCTTATTGAAAGTTGTACCATGCATAAAAGTCAATAATAAAGTGCTTTTATGCTGAAATGTGATTTAATCAGCTTAACTATTTCACGCCACTAAAACCACTTGTCATCTTGGCCCTCAATACGCGATTCTTTTGGTCGGACTATTGGTACAATCTTGCAATACCGAAAATTTATTACCAATGATTTATTGAAAGGAAGAGCTAAACACCAACATCTTCACCACTAACCTAGCCATGAATTCATGGTTTATAATTAACATCTAACATATTTTGCTACATAATTCAATGTTCCATAAATGACTTTTAGATGGATACATTGGAGTAACATCATTAGTAGGGATGGCAATTTACCCACTCATGGGTAATTTTGCCCAAACCCAAGTAGACCCATTTATTATGGGTAGTTTGGGTGATGTGTGTATGGGTTTGGGGTTTGTATATGGGTTTGGGTTAGATATGGATATTATCTAAATGGGTATGGGTTGGATATGGATATCCATTTACTTGAGGGTGTTTTAACTACACATGCAAAAATTGGACATATTGGTAAAAACTTGAAAAATTTAGGTACCAAAATGTAAGACCAAAAAAATTTAGGTACCAAAACGTAATTTTCCATCGATATTTTGAGGACTTATATGCAAAAAATTAAATTTAGGTACTAAATATGCATATCTATTAAGTTTAGGTACCAAACTGTAATTTGTATTTGGGCATGGGTACAAACCCAAATCCATTTGTTATAAACCCAACCCAACCCAAAGTAAATGGATATGGGTACAAACCCATCAAACTTTACCCATATCCATATATTTGAATTTCATACCCAACCCAATTGGGTTGGATAGTAAAATACCCATGGGTATGGGCAAAATTGCCATCCCTAATCATTAGTAGTTTGGATGATGAGTGTTTTAAATATTTTGTTTATAATGTGAATCTTAGAAGTATAGCTAGTGAATTGTAATTAGTCATTAATTATTTGTTAATTACCTATTACTATGTGAGAGGGTGCTCCTCTCCGTGGATTAGGGTATATATTGTGGTGATAGTCGGCATTGTAATCTAAGGATACTCCGCTAATATGATTGACTTTGAGAGGTTGCTCATCTCCGTTGATTAGTCTCAACGATACTCGTTGAGAATACCACGTAAATCTTGTGTTGGTCCTTCTTTTGATTAAGTTTGACATGATATCAGAGTCTGGTTATTTCGTTATGTGTAGTTTAGAAGGAGTTACAGTTTTATTTCAGTATTTGATATGAGGTTGTCAACTTATAATTTGTGTAGAATGATCATTAGTTTCTATCTCCATAAGAAATTAAGATTTAGGTTCATTTATGCAGGGCCGGCCCTGCGACACAGGGCCTCTGGACCTCCATTATATATATGACTAATTACTATTACGGATTATTAGATTTCGATTATAAATTTAAAATGATAGAAAATTTATGAATTGGGTTTTGATTATGGATCTAAAACAATAATAAATATTTAAGTCCGAAGGTTAAAGGAAGGAACAAATCACATGAGGCGAATACTTATTTTGTTATTAAATTTTTTAAACCATATAACATAATTTATTTTTTGTCTTGTGTTTCCTAAATAGAACAAAAGAGGTAATTGATGATGCCTCATCATCATTATTATTATTAAATTTGTTGCTTTAACTTTCTTCATTTTCAGCTTTACAAGGGGGAAAAGAATTCAATTTCGTCAATTAATGTGCTTGTATTACCAAGGCAATAATGCTAAATTAATTAAATAATTTGCAGTGATTTATTAAACATTAACCAAAATAATTAGGTATAGGCCACCAATAGTATAAAGAAAAAATAACTAAATTAATTATAAATAGTTTTCCATTATGTGATATGGCTAATTCTTGTGGTAAAGCTATAATTTTTTTATGAATTATTCAACGTATTTTTGAAAATGTAATCTTTTTGAAACTTGTCATTGTTTTCCAATTGCAAGCATATTTTATAGAATCTTATTAACTATTCCTGTAACTGTACAGCAAGAGGAAGCTTTTCGAAATTGAAGTTGTTCAAGTCTTATATGCACTTTATAGTGACATAAGAGAGGCTTTTTTTTTTTACGGGTAACCTGTGAATGCATTCATCAAATCGAAATGGTTACATCATCTAGCCGTAGCTGATCAAGAAGAAACATCGGAGGCCTATCTAGCCACACTTCTCGACTATCCCACCGTGTCTCACTATGAGCCATTATATGCGCTGCGTTGTTAGTTGTTCGTCGCACATGGTGTATACTATTGTTGCCGGAACCCATCTCATGTATGCTCCTGCAGATTCGCCTGCATATGATGTCAATCTCGGTCTGAATCATGTGCGCCTATTGGAGCTTCTCTACCAAGGTCAAACAATCGACCTCTAGCTGTACCTTTCGAAACCCAAGTTGTCCCGCGAGCTAGACACCAAATTCTGCCGCTAATGCTTCTGCCATCTCCGCTTCGTACGAGCCGCTAGACATAAGAAAGGCTAAACGGGTTAGCTATGTTAGCAATTGAGATTAACTATTTGGCTCATCCAAAGATGTAAGAGCTAATAGAGAATTTTATTTCAAATAATATTAGACGTTTGTTACTTTTCAAACAATGATAGATGAATTTATTCCTTTTGTAATCACTTTGTGAACTTATATATTTTTTATTATTATTTAATAATTTTTATTTTCAATAAATTTATGAAAAAAAATTTAGGACCACATTTTAAATTTTCGAACAGGGACTCTGAATATTCTCAAACATTTTGATTAGTATCATCAATACATTACTTAATGCTATTACAAGTCCTTTGATTTAAATAATTAGCATGAATAGATACTATTGTCAAAACAATACACTATTTCGTACTATTTTTACCGCATAAAAAAACACTTACACGATTTTCATTAAATAAGTGAGAAGTTTAAAACACACCACCAAATTATGATTGAGCCTTATAATAAACACCAAATAACAACACAATAAAGTGAAATCACAAGCAACTTTCTTTATTTCTTGAATGATCAGTTGCTACATGCCACCCACGTCACGACAACATGCACTGATCTTTGGAAGTGAAAAAAAACGTGGCGGCCCAAAGCAATCATACTGGGCTCAGGCCAACACAGGCGCGGGGGCTGGTGCAGGGAAGAACGGGCAATCCCCGGGCAACGGTGGCCCACACAGCCCTTGGTTCCCGGCAAAAGCCGATGCAGAGAAAGTTCTTAACCCGCCAGGAATCGGGCCCGTCAAATTATTATTAGAAACATCGAAGCCCACCAAGCTTCCGAAACCCTCAACCTCAGGAATCGGCCCACTGAACTGATTGTCCTGGGCCCGGAACTCGCGCAAGCCCGTCATCATCATCCTCCCCAGGCTGCGCGGGAAAGCGCCTTCGAACCGGTTCCCCGAAATCACGAGGTTGGTCAGGCTCTTGCACTCCGCGATCTCCGGCGGCAACGGGCCATGGATGTGCCCGTTGCCGCGGAGCGACAGCGCGGCGAGCAATGGAGTCGCCGCGCAGAGCGTCCTGGCGTCCAGGACTCCTCGGAGTTCCAGGCCGTCTAAGGTGACGGCCACGACGCGGAATTCCTGGTCGCAGAGGATGCCCGCCCATTTGGCGGTGCATGGGTCGGAGGTGGCGTTCCAGCCCCAGTCGAGGAGCGGCGGCGGGTGTGCTGATAATTCGCCGCCGCCTCGGAGGGCGTCCATGAACCGGATCAGGGAGCTCCTGACAGTCGGTGATTCGGCGAGCGAGGGCTGTGGCAGGAGGAATGTGAGGAGGATGATGAGGGCCGAGATGGGGATCATATTGATCTGGTTTCGAGCCATTACGAGGGAGTATTGGATTCTTTTCTAACAACTCGAACTATTGCGACCAACTAATTAACTGGGTTTTGACTTTTGAGGGTGAAGTGTTGTGTTATGGGAGGGAGGGAGGGATGTTGGCGGTTCAAATATATAGCGCAGTCGGCCGTCGGGGTGGGAGCAAAAGCCAAGAGGAAGCTGGCACGGCCGGCGTTTCGTGTTCGTTCGTAGGATTCGGATGGGGAAGATGATGATCATAACAATGTGTTCGATGTGCTTAATGTTGATGCAACGAGGTGCCGTACATGAATGAGGGGAATATGGTTTTGACAATGATTCATTATTATATACTCAACGACAACGTCTAGATGTTAATTATGTGAAAGTACTGTGTATTTCTGTTTTAAGAACATTCCCTCCACATAAATATATAAAAGAAAATGGTTTTGGGTATGTGCTTCTTATTGTGCAATATATCAATGAGAAAATAGTTTAGTACGTAGGATGGCATGCTATCAACCTTTTCATCTAAGATCCTAATGGTTTTTCAATTATAATCTCTTCATTATAAATCTTGACTTTGCCATTGATCATTGATGATTCTCCACCAAACTTGAAGCAGGAAAATTGGCAAACCCACTGATAAATCTGCCCAACCAATTGATTATATCCGACATCATTAAGGATGACAAATAGTAAACCGGGGATTTGTGACGGATCGGGGGATGACGTGCCTTTTTTTAAATGAAAATTACTGTATTTATATGGATCGTCTCTAAATTATGGTTCTAGGATTATAACTATCCGCACATAATTTATAGAATACAACATATGAAGTATCAAATCATGTTTTATGTACTATTTGGGAAAAAATTTACAACCACCATCCTCAAACAACCATACATCAAGTATTTATTATATTGTGAATTATCTTAACATGTGTGTTACACCTAGTCCTTTAATATTTTGTACAATTTCTAAACTGCATTTTTACCCCAACAAAAGTTCTAAACTACCCTTCTATTGTAATATTAAAATCATCTAATTAACCTAAGCTGACAAATGTGTTTGTCATATAATAAGTGGAGAACCATCGCTTAAAGCTACTATATATCACGAGTTAAGTCAAAATACTAGCCATAGACAGCCAATACATTTCAACCATAGTGGATTAGGGTTCCAAGGAGTAGAACGGAATTTTAGATAGTACGGTTGAAGGTATCTATGATTCGGCCATCTTTTCTTATTAGTTACCACCAAATTGACAAATACGCGGAGGGGACTAGCACGTTCATAGCATTTGTCTACTAAAGTTGGAATAAATTTTAGGGTAAATACAATATATTAGTCATAACTATTATTAAGCGGAGAATTATAGCCACAATTATGGAAGAACAAAAGTGAAGCAGTGTGTTTTGCTTGCTGCTCACAGACAGGTTCTGATGTTCACGGCCGTGAACTCAGGCCGTGAACTGGGCGCGATCTCAGTATATAATGTGAGCTGAAAGGAAGAAGAAAATGAGGCAAAAGTGAGAGAAAAAACTTCTTCTTCTTGAAACCCTAAAGAGGGAAAGCACGAACCAAGAGGGAGAAGAGCTAGAGTTTTGCTCCAAGCGAAGATTTTGGAAGCTCATCTTCAAAGGAGGACCTCTACAAGCACAAGGAGAGTTGAAGGCATCACAAAGATGGTTTCTTTCTTCCTCTTTTGTGTTCTTCCATTGTCTAGCATGGAGTAGTTTCCCTTTTCACTTGGGTGTTGTAGAACCCTAACTTCTATCATGTAATTGTTGTGTGGTTTGAATAATTGTGTGATGGTGGTGTTTAATTTAAGTATTGAGGTATTTTTCATGGTGATTGTGCATATTGTTTGCTAGGCAATCTATTGTGCTATTCTAACCTAACTTAGAGAGAAGCCCCCTTATCTTAAGAGACTCAAATTGAGCTGAGTTTTTTTAGGCATTCCATACCTCCTAACTAGTTTAACGTAGGACAAACCTCTAACTTGGATTAGACACCTAGGTTAATTGTGATTATGTCGTCCAAACTTTGATTTGAGGGAGAAGGTAAGTCAACCCTCAATTGATTGGGCAAGAGGGCTATAATCGTAGCCTCTAATGTTTCCCTTGGCATAGCAAATGAGAGATGGTTTCTAACCATTGTTGCACTTCCTACGGGTCGCAATTGCCTTGCCACACATCGCTCCATTCGATCCCACGATCCATGGTAGTTAGTTAGGGGGAAGCAATACCCGAGTGAAGCTTCTCAACAAGAGTTTTTCACCACTTTACATTTGAAGTCTTGTTTTTCAATAGTAGATCGTAGATATTTTTGCAAAACAACGATCTGCTAGATAATGTTTCAAACAATTGAAGTAGGGGTACATGGACCGGCCCGAGTTGATATTTAATCATACTTGCCCTATATTGCACCCATATAAGGTTTATACTTGGGCCTGAGGTTATATTTTATTTTGATAGTCGGAGCGATTCAGAGACTCAGCTACTTCTTGAACCATTTTGACAAGATCTTAGTCGGTGCTATCGCCTGGACTAGTGACATGACGTTCAGCTGATGTAGAGGTAGGGAAGAACTCGTCGACAGAAGGCACATTAGCAGGATTAAACGTGTGGAATAGATAAACATCCTCAAAGAAGAAGACATCTCTTGAGGTATATATCACATGACGATCTATATCTAGGACCCGGTAGCCATGCTGTTCGATGGGATACCCGGCAAAAATTGCAGGCCTGCCCCTTGCCGCAAACTTGGAGAGGCTAGGATGTAACACCTTGATCCTTTTAAACAACCGAAATAATCATGGCTCCGGAGCCGGTTAAAAACAAAGCTTAAAATTTAAATACAACTTAAACATTCCCAAGGAAAACGTCAAATGCAATGCCCTAACACGTGGGCAAAACTCAAATGCATAGTTAATAAACCTCAACCTTTGAACCTCCAGTTATACTCATAATCATAAACACAACTGACTAAACAAAATATAACTCCTCGCTTAGCTCCTTGACATCTCGTCAATGCTGGTGCGGTTGCTCGCCTTGCCTTGCTCCTTCTCGGGATCCACCTCTGCTACCCCTTCCTCGACCTGGTGAGTGAGAAGGGGTCAGTCTCGTCGTTACTTCCTAAGGTCTTGCCCTAAGCAACCTCCTTACTAAAACACGTTATTAACGTTTCCTTTCCTTAGATGAAAGTCGTTCTCACTTCCATCCTTAATAACTCATTTCAACTTTAACTCATAGAGTTTCTCAACTTTTATCCTTAAATCATAGAAGTTCTCTACTTCTATCTTTAACTAATAGACATCAATACCAGGGACCATCGCGTTACGTATCGCCGTCCGGTGTCCGGTGTCCCTATCCTCAAGGAAATGGTACTGCGTTACGTATCGTCGTCCAGTCCATGCCCGGTCAACTACTGCGTTACGTATCGCCGTCCAGTAGTGACCCGACCATCTACCGCGTCCAGTAGTGGCCCAACCGCCCGGGGGTTCAATTACCATCATCCATACATCACAAACACATACATACCTAGCACAACGCGTGCCTCCACCTTAAGTAGGCGGTGGGATGCCTCACACACATAATCGCGCTTACTTGAAAATTAAATAACATAACTGAATTAAAAAGGTATAAACTAAAAGACCTCGACGGAGATTTTACCCCCTTTACACTCACCTCGAAAAGACGACTCTTCTTAATTGACGGTTGACCCACGTCATCCTCCGAAACCCCATGCTCCAACTCCTCGTGCTTCGCCTCCTTTTGCATTTCCTCCTATTAGATATTTAGGCAAAATTTAACTCACTTATCTCTAAGCGTAACTAATCAAACGACCTTCAATTTGGTTAATTTCAATCCCAATTTCCTCCATTTAATATTTCCTAAGATTCCCCATAAAATTCTGGGAAATTACCTTTTTGCCCCGAAATGGCAAATTACCAAATGGTACTCGAACCTCCTGGGTCTTATCAATTCGGCCCCAAATTTCCAGAATTGCTCAATTCAGTCCTCCATACCAATTTCCACTTTCTGTTTTAAACATTTCAGTCCAAACGGCTTATTTCAATCCGGTACCCAAATATTTACCAATTCCGAACTCACCCCAAGCCTGGTTAATTACTTTATGGAGCCTAAACTTCCTAATTTAACCAAGTCTCCCCCATTCCAAAAAGACATATACGCCCTTGACTATTTATCAAATTCCCAACTTAATGCCATTGAACTCCAAAATTGCAGGAGCGTCTTACCTCGTCGTCACTCCTCACGGTTTTGCCGTCGCCGCCCCAGCTCCGGCCACCGTCATCGCCTCCTTCCTCCTCCTCCTCGAATCCATCCACGAACGACTCCTCAGGTTCCTCTTCTTCTTCCTCGAACAGGGCCTTGTCGACGGCCGCCCTCCGCGAGAATCCCCCGCCGCCGTCAATCCCACCTTCGACTTCCCTTCGCCGACCGCAGTTCGGAGGGAAATGACGAATTGCTGAAACTCCCCGGCGCTTTGGAGGGTAGACCCACATCCTCTCCACCGCCCCTGCATCTTTTCCCACGCCGCCGACGCCTGAATCGACACCGGAATTTCTTGCCGCCGTTGCGTCCCAGGATCCTTCTTGCGTCCGCGAGCCACCATTCTTGTTCGGATCCACCTTCCTGCTCTTCCTGATCGATTCGAAACTTCCATCAAGCCTTCCCAGGGACAGAATCTCGCTCCTCTCCGTCCTCTGCTCTCTCTTCGGTTCCCTTTAACTTCCTCTGCTCCTTTTGTTTCTTGATTTTTGGCCAACTGTAACGGAAAGGGCTAAGGCGAAATGGCCTCCCATCAACCCCAATCAATTGAATTTCACTAACACCCACTATTAAACGGCCATTAAACTCCTAATTAACTCCCCTGAACCCGCCATTTCCGGTAATCGCCGCCGCTGCTTTGTCCCTTCCGCTTCCGGTCGGATTTCCTAGAGAGAAACAGTCTCTCTTCCTCCTCACCTGGGCTCTGCCCGTTCCTTCTTCTTCTGTTTC